TGAGGAAATTAAGAATTGATGCTTTACTGATTTGGTAAAGATCCTATCTGAACTGCATTTGTTTTGCAATCATGATTATTCATGAGCACTCTCTATATCATTGCTATGTCATAAGATATCTTGGATTTTCTGAATAATTTTCATCCCTGGCTTTTCTGACATATGAAGTATCAATACTCCCTTACCAGCCGGTGTGATGGTTTGTTGGTGGTTGCTGAATTTTATTTTAAAGATTATTGGAAAGCAAAATCATTTTCATTGAAGTATTTTGAAAATATGATGTCCAATACAGTAAGTCCCCAACTTACAAATGAATTCCATTCTGGGAGAATGTTTATAAGTCAGATTTGTTCTTAAGTCCAATAAAGTGAGTCTTATACATGTTTGACACAAATATACAATGTAAAGCATTAGAAAACCAAATATACAACCACACAAGTACTATAAATAAACTATTTTTACTTTTAAGCTCATTAAGCACATAGCAGCGCAACACAACTGTGACAATGTCCAGCAGACACATGAGCTGCTCCATGATTTGTTCCCATCTATGGATATTCATAATGAGAGGTCCATTTGTATCTGGGAAGTTTGCAATTCAAATGTTTGGGACACAGGGGATGTACTATACAGACATTCCTCATTAAACAATCTACCCAGTTAATGACTTTTCAAACTTATGACCATTTTTTTAAGTACAATTCTGTGCATCTTGTTGATAGACCTTAATTTTGCATAGTATACTTTGTTAATATAGTAATTCTGCTGATTGTACTGTAGTTTTATATTCTATTATAAAGTACATTACTACATGAAAGTTATGCAAATAAAAGCAAAGTTATCAAGTTAGAGATTCCTTTGACCATTACTGTGTTCTGAATATTGTAACGTACATACTATATACAATTCTAATTTAGTGACCAATCCATTTATTAACCTAGTAGCAGGAACAAAACTCGGTTGTTAAATAGGTATCTGTACTGTGTTTTTTCCACCGACAGAATTTAAATTTCTTGAAACAGGAACAGCTTCATCCAGTTATTTATAATAACGCCTGATATTGTAAGTGTTCAACAGTACTAGGTGATCGAAATACATGGAGAATGCTGAAATTTTAAAAAGGTCCTAACAGTAAAAGATACATTGCCATTAATACCCCTCAACACACTTCCCTTTGCTTTGCACAACATACTTCCCTTTGCTTCTCTCATTACTCTTGCCACTTTCTGAAGCAGTTCTGCAAGTTTTCTGTGAGTATCTTTATGAAGTATGGTAAAAAAAATATGGTGAATGCTGCTGCTGACAGCTATCCAAAAGAAATGTTCATAAAAACATAACTGTGTCCATATCCACCTTATTCACCAGATCTGACACTATACAATTTCTGGCTCTTCCCCAAAGTCAAAAGGACCACCAAAAGTAATGCTTTTGAAGTGATTCAAGATACCACAGCAACCACAAGAGTGCGATTAAAGACACTCACCAAAAAGGACTTCTAGAACTCCTCAGAAAGTGGTGAGAATGATAGGTTAAGTACTCAAATTGAGGGGAGTGTGCTGAAGAGGACTAATGGCAATGTGTCTTTTACTATAATAATTTTTAAAAATTTAAATATTCACTGTTGTCTTAATCACTCTCCTTGAGCCAAGACAAAACACCTATACCTGCAACTTAAAGGGGGAGACTGTTCAGGGTTACAGTCTATTGCCAGCTCCAGGGCAGAAACAGTATAGTAGAGGGGCATAGCAGAGGAAACCTGCTTACATTATGGTGGCTAGGAGGCAGAGACAAAAGCAACATATTCTTCCAGATCAACCCCAGTGACCTGCTTCTTTCAACTAGACACTACCTCCTAACAGCAAGTCAGCTTTATTGCCCCCATGATACAATCACCTCCCCAAAGCCTTCCCTATAAGCACATGAGGCCTTTTAGGAACATTCCTGATCTAAAACATAACATTCTGTCTCTGACCCTGAAAAGACTCCAGTGCATCTCATTATGCAACACTAGATCCATCTTTAAAAGTTGCCAAATTATTAACAATTTCAGCATTGATGAAAAGTCCAAGTCCAAAGTTTCTTTTGAGACTCAAGGCAAACTTTCAGCTGTAAGCCCTTACCCAAAACAGAACAAAACTGACAGAATAACACAGCATAAATATTCCAATTCCAAAAGGGAGGAATGGGAGATAAAAAGGAACAGGACCAAAACCAAAGCAAAACTGAAAATCAGCAGGGAAAATATTAAATCCTGTAGCTCTGGTACCAGCACCCAGTGTACACCGTGATGCGATGTGAACTTTAAACAGCTCAGGCAAATCTGCTGCTGTGGCATTGGTGGTTGCAGGCCTCATGCAACCACCCTCTCTCTTAGGGTGGCTTTGCTAATTGCCTACAGTTGTCCTCAGATGTTCCACATTCCTGGCTTTTCCAACTTCTTGGGGTCTCCCCAACACTTCTGGCTTCACTCTAACAGCTTCACATAATGTCCTCTCAAGGGCACATTGCCTGGCCTACTAGGCAGGCCTCTTGAAATCTGGGTAGAAGCCTCCTTGACTCCATAACTCTCATTATTCTGTATGCCTGTAAAACTAGCACCACCTGGATGATGTCAACGTCTATTGCCAGTTCAAGTTGTAGTCCAGCCTCCTTGAATTATGGATAGAGACCTCTGAGTGCCTGAATGGTTGAGCACTGCAAACTGAATCCAGGGGAACTAATTTCCTAGGATGCCCTTCTGGAGCAGGGTGCCCTGGGACTCTTTTCTCAAAGCAAAGTCTTTCAAAAGAATTTGCCTTTACCCTTTTACACTCCCTCCCACAGTCAGTGAAAGGTAGTGTCTTGCTTATTCCTGAGATGCCCTCGAGGCATCTTTCCTACTGTCCAGATGAAAGTACTTGGTTTCTTCAGGCTAATTTTTTAAGCAACCAAGCTCTCTGCTCTAACTTTGAAGGTGCTTTCTTTCTGAGGAAAATGAAACTTCAACTGGGCTTTTTGCTGTTGGTTTTCCATATAAACCTAGCTATATGCTGCCAGCAGTACCCATGCCACAGCCTGAATGCTGAGTTGAAATTTTTTCTGAGTTGAGATTTAGTCTGCTGACCTTAATTTAAGTCTCCCACAAGTCTCAGGACATGGGCAAAACATAGCCAAAGCTTCTAAGGGTAACACACATGGTTTTGAGTCCAACTGTCAATGGAGTCCTTCTTTCCAATTTAAACCCTCCGAGTCTGGCTTTTACTATCTTCATTTCTATCAGTATCCTGGTCTTCTGAACTCTGATCAGAATCTCCCATTAAGCTCAGCTTCAGTATTTTAGGACTTCTCTCACTGGCACCTCCAAACCTTTCCACGCTCATCCTGCAAGTCACTTCCAAAGGCTTTTGAACCACTTGGTAAGGTAGTCACAGCAACAACCCCTCTTGTCTGGTACCAAAATCTATATTAATCACTTTTTCGTCACTATGACACAATACCCAACACCAAAAACTTAAAAAAGGGGAGGTTTATTTTGATTGATAATCACAGTCCATGGTCGTCCAACTCCAGGGCTCCAGTCAACAGCATGGCAGAGGGGCACAGTAGAAGAAAGCTGCTTATGTCATGGCGGCCAAGAAGCAGAATGAGAAGCAAGGAGCTGGGAAGAGAGATCTATCCTTTTAGGTTATGTCCCAGTGACTCTTTATTTCCAACTAGACTCCACCTCCTAACAGCAAGTCACTAATATCACCCCAATTATTCAATCATATTCCGAAAACCTCTCTATGAGTGTCTTTAGGGGACATTCTTGATCTAAACCATAACAACTGTATTTTTAGGCTACCCCTGGTATTACTGAAAGACATCAGAATTAACACTGGCTCCAACTGATCTTTTTCAAATTCTCTTTTCCCTTAAGTAGTCTTTCCTGATTCTTCTACATTTCATTCTCAGTGATAATTGCTTCTTGCTCTTTCATTATTTTTTAAAATTGGCTACAACTGTAAACCAAGCGTGGTGGCACACACCTGTGATCCCAGCACTCAGGAGGTTGAGGCTGGAGAAATGCCTCAAATTCAAGGCTAGCCTGGGCTACATAGTGAGCCCTTGTCTCCAAAACAAACAAACAATTGGCTACATCTGGTACAGCGGTTTCAGAATGATGTATTAAGGTAACAATTACTCTAAACTTCCAACTAACAGAAAGCACCGTGGAGTGAAAAAGCTCTCTGTTGAGTAATGTGCGCGGGGTTAATGAATGCTTTGCTGATGACTATAGAGTGTTTTTCGATTTGTATATCTTGGCATGGGTATGTTAGTTATGGCATGTAAGTTATGTAAAGGATTGTAGCTTATCTACAATAATGTTAAATGGATCACGGGGAATTATGAAAACACGGAGCAGATATGGAATTATTATTTGTATAGTACAAACTGACAGGTGACAGTTAACACAATACTTAACTTTTAAGTTGTTGAACAAGCTTCCCGTGTATAGGCCTATACTTGCATTCACCATCTCACTAAATTTGCAATGCTCTCATATGAAGTGGTACGATCATAATGTTCATTGTTCAGAGAAGGAATGCCTTGGAGATGTTAAGAAACATGGTAAATCACACAATTTGTAATTGGAACTGACTTCGACATTACTTTAGTACTTTTATGTGGCTCCGTTTCCAGACAGTTTTCTGACCCTTCTGAGCGTTTGCAGTCCACAACCAGTTGGGTGTGAAAACAAAAACCAGTTTCGCTTTTCCTAAGCCTTTCCCTGCGAAGGGGTCCCCAGGAGACTGTCAACAAGCCCGTCCCTTCCTCGCTGGGCTGAGCAGTCCTGTCTGGGGCCTCAGGAGGGACGTGGCTCTGGCCTGCCCAGGGAAGGCACCCCGTCTCTACTCGCCCTCCCCCCCCAGCCCTCCCCGTATTCGCCCTTCTCCAACCTGTACCCTCCCTGTGTCCCACGCACTCACCTCCCACTGGTTCTCACTCAGTCACGGCCTGGATCTTAATCCCATACTAACCTGCCGTCCGGCGGTCCCGGTCTGGGGGTGTCAGCCGAGGGACCCGTGGCGCAGTCCGCCTTGAGCCCAAAGGCTCGGCTGCTTCGTCTTCGCGGCCGGAGCTGCTTCGGTGCCGCCGGCTCTGGCTCCATGTCGTAGAAAAGGGGGTGGAGCGGTGGCCGGGTGCCCGGGACACCGACACGGAAAGGCACTGTGCCCACCAGCTCCTGTAAAGCAGAAAGTGCCTGCTAACAGGCAGCCGCCACCACCATCATCCGGGGATTTGAAAATGGCGGCTGTGAAAGAACTAGCCAATCAGAGAGCAGGCAGTGGTTGCTAGGACACACAAGTCCTG